GCGACAAAACAGGCCTCTTTTGGGAGAAAATGCCAAAGAGGACCTACATTACTCAGGAGGAAAAGGGACTGCCAGGACACAAGCCTATGAAAGACAGGCTTACACTCATTTATGTTCTGTGCTAATGCTAGTGGGGATTTCAAAGTGAAGCAGTTACTATTGTACCATTCTGAAAATCCCAGAGTGTTCAGGAAAAACAGTGTTATGAAGAGTAAATTGTGTGTGTTTTGGAGATCTAATAATAAGGCATGGGTCACGAGGGAAATTTTCGTCGAGTGGTTCAATGAAGTGTTTGGCCCTAATGTAAAGAATTACCTCCCGGAAAAGAAATTGGATCTCAAGTGCCTCCTAGTAATGGACAATGCACCTGCTCATCCTCCAAACTTGGATGACCTAATTCTGCAGGAGTTTGGGTTCATCACAGTAAAGTTCTTGCCCCCGAATACCACTCCTCTCCTCCAACCCATGGACCAGCAGGTCATTTCAAACTTTAAAAAACTTACACCAAAGCAATGTTTCAAAGGTGTTTTAATGTGACCTCAGACACTCACTTGACCCTAAGAGAGTTTTGGAAGGAACACTTCAGTATCCTCCATTGCATAAGCCTTATAGGTAAGGCTTGGGAGGGAGTGACTACCAGGACTTGGAACTCTGCTTGGAGAAAATTGTGGCCAGATTGTGTCCACAAGAGGGATTTTGAAGGGTTTGTGGCTGACCCTGATGAGCCTATGTCAGTTGTGAACTCTCTTGTGGCATTGGGGAGTTCCATGGGGTTGGATGTGAGTTTGGAGGATGTGGAAGAGTTGGTGGAGGACCACAACGAAGAGCTAACCACTGAGGAGCTGCAAGAGCGTCAGCAAGAAGAGCACCATATCGCAGCTCAGAATCTTGCTGCAGAGGAGGAGGAAGAGAGATGGAAGAAGGTGCCTTCTTCAGAAATTAAGGAGATGTGGGGTAGGATGGAAAGATTTATGGAGAAACATCACCCTGAGAAGGATGTTGCAAGCCATATCGGCAACTTGTACAGTGACAGAGTCTTGGCTTATTTTAGGGAAGTTTTAAAGAGACGCCAGAAACAGAGCTCTCTAGACACTTTTTTTGCGAGACAGGACTCCAGTGACTCTCAAGCTGCTCCTAGTGGCATTAAGAAACAGAGAAGAGAAGTAATCCCAGAAAAGGACTTGGTACCTGACTTCTTACAGTAAATACTACTCATCTTTTGCCCTACATTAAGACTACAAATATTTTGAGGTAAATAATGAGTGTACTGTGTGTGTATTTTACTTTTTAATGCCTAGTTCTATTGCTAACTTAATATATGTTAGTGTAAACTTGTTATCTGGCATTTATATACATTTATAAATGCAAAAAATGGAGTTCTGCTTTCCGGCGAAGTCTGCTTTTCAGCAATAGCCTGGAACCTAACCTGCCGAATAAGTGGGGCCTTATTGTATCTTTGAGAGGATCCCAACTGTTTTGGATACTTTTTTTGTTATGTGTTGGCTATGGGTGTTGAATTTCAGGTTGCTGTCAAGGTGCAGACCCAGGAATTTGCCCTCATTATGTTTAGCAATAAGAGTGTTATCAGTCATAATGCTCAGCTGGGCATGTTGTCTCTTTGGGTACTCATGGCACCCCTGCTTTTCATTGGGGGGATGTTGCCCCTGCTGCCCAGTCTTTTGCTTTTGTAGGGAGTGGTTTTCGTATGCAGATTTGAAACTAGTCCGTCTAGGATTTTCCAAGTGTATATAATCATTTATCTTACTTGCTTGCATTCCAGGGAGTACAAGTCAAGGGACTTTCAACTGTTCCCAGTAATTTAGGTGCTTATACGTGTCTTGAAAGTTCTCTGTACATTCTCCAGGTCTGCAGTTTCACCTGCTTTGAAAGGGGCCATTAGTGTGCGGCAGTATTCCAGCCTAGAGAGAACAAGTGATTTGAAGAGAATCACCATGGGCTTGGCATCCCTAGTTTTGAACATTCTGATTATCCATCCTATCATTTTCCTAGCAGATGTGGTAGATAGCATCTTTGAAGGCTAGAAAAAGGGAACACAATTTTGGCAGAGGACCAGTTAATAGGATAACTGTGATCTCTAACATGACAGAAACGAGGAAGGCTAACACTTCTTTTTTGTATATATTCTGGCTCCCTTTCCTTTGCACTTCTCCGAGAGACCTGTTAATAGTCCAAGTTGGACCGAAACATCGTCATAAGCTTCAGTCTCCTATGTGTGGGTTATTTGTGTTTGACAATACTGTATTTAGGGTCTGGGAGAGGATGTTGGTGTAGATGTTTGGCTAGCTTCACCTTCGGTCTGCTTGAAAACTTTTCGGACAAGTCCAGCAGTGCAATTTATTTAAATGTTTAATGGTTATCCACTCATATTTTATTTACGAATTGATACATGTTTATTTTATCCTACAGTACAATCTTACTAAAGATTTTTTCATCACTTAAGCATCATCATCATTATTAATTTTCTCTGCTTCCTTTATCAGTGATTCATTACATTAACATTCTCATTGTGCATCCATTCTTCCTAATCCTTCAGTAATGTAGAGCTCCTTGCTAAACATTTGATGGGCCTAGTAACTTTCTTCCTTGTACTATTTTCTTTAAATTCTTCAGACTCATAATTATCTTCAAAACTATCAACTGCCCACAAGCTATTCCATCAACTAAAAAAATCACAAACAAAAGCAAAAATCACACACAATCTTTTAGGTTGTAAGACACGACAAATTTCAGTATCACCAGTTTTATTGTAATCACTGATAAGATGTTCCATTAAGTTTTTGGAATAATAGGTGGTCATATCAGACTTACTACTTAAAAATAAGGCACACATTTTTTATGGAGTTAATGAAAAATATAATTGTTAACTTTTGCTTAGAAAATAAACCCACTAACCCTTTCCATTTTTTGAACCCACCAAAATATGGAAAGTTATAATTGTGTGAGGCCTCTGCATTACTGCATTTGAACACCATGCAATACTGGTGAAACTTTCTGAATAATGTGTTCGTGTTTACCAAACATTTTCACATTGATTCTTCTGTAGTAAGCATAATAAGTAAACATAAAAATTTCCTAACTGCAAATCGGTAAATTTAAGTAAGCTATAAGAGAGAGAGTTCTAATTAACCTTTCTAAGACACTTGGACAGGGCTATATAATGATGCCTTGGTGATCACTGTGCTGCTGTTTGAGAGACTTTACTTTGTTTAGCTCTCAAAACATGTATAGTATTTTTCATGTATAGTATTTTTTTTTTATTTTGCAGTACAAATGCACCTTTGTTAGACCTTCTTGGGATTAAACTATAATGTGTGTCATTTTGGGGACTTTCAGTCAGTGTAGTGGCTCCTGTTGTCATACAACTAGGCATATTAGATATTTGACCTGCATCAAGATGGTGTAATACTGTATAGTACAGTACTGAATCTCTTACTTATGAAATAAGTCTCTTCCTCCTCTGATTAAATGATGCTGGAGTAGATATGGGGTTCAAGGGTGCATTCAGTAAAAGCAAAACTAGCTTAGCACACAGTAGATTGCATTTCATGGAACACTAAACCTGTGTGAGTCATAAGCACAAGAAATGGTAAAGATTTGCTCCTCTTCTAATTATTGCCTGGTCTCTGATCAGTCAGGTTATTGAGTTTAATGCATGAAGACTGGTGAGAAAGTGGATGAGTAGCTTCATGCATGAAGACTGGTGAGAAAATGGATGAGTAGCTTAATGCATGAAGACTGGTGAGTAGTGAATGAGTAGCTTACTGCACGAAGACTGGTGAGTAGTGGATGAGTAGCTTACTGCATGAAGACTGGTGAGTAGTGGATGAGTAGCTTAATGCATGAAGACTGGTGAGTAGTGGATGAGTAGCTTACTTCATGAAGACTGGTGAGTAGTGGATGAGTAGCTTACTGCATGAAGACTGGTGAGTAGTGGATGAGTAGCTTAATGCATGAAGACTGGTGAGTAGTGGATGAGTAGCTTACTGCATGAAGACTGGTGAGTAGTGGATGAGTAGCTTACTGCATGAAGACTGGTGAGTAGTGGATGAGTAGCTTAATGCATGAAGACTGGTGAGTAGTGGAGGAGTAGCTTAATGCATGAAGACTGGTGAGTAGTGGATGAGTAGCTTACTGCATGAAGACTGGTGAGTAGTGGATGAGTAGCTTAATGCAAGAAGACTGGTGAGTAGTGGATGAGTAGCTTAATGCATGAAGACTGGTGAGTAGTGGATGAGTAGCTTACTGCATGAAGACTGGTGAGTAGTGGATGAGTAGCTTAATGCATGAAGACTGGTGAGTAGTGGATGAGTAGCTTAATGCATGAAGACTGGTGAGTAGTGGATGAGTAGCTTAATGCATGAGGACTGGTGAGTAGTGGATGAGTAGCTTACTGCATGAAGACTGGTGAGTAGTGGATGAGTAGCTTAATGCATGAAGACTGGTGAGTAGTGGATGAGTAGCTTACTGCATGAAGACTGGTGAGTAGTGGTTGAGTTCATTAATTCCTGAAATGCGCAGTGCAAAAGAAGTCCAAATCATTTGTTTGAAATTGAAATTTTTTTAATGTATATACATATTACACAATACACAAATAACCTGCACATAGGAGGGAGGAGCTTACGATGACATTTTAGTCTAACTTGGGCCATTTACAAAGTCACATTAACAGGGAGGGGAGGAGTTAGTAAATAGGTAATCTTTTCCTTTCCCAAGACAATTTCTATTAGATTGGCTTTTAATTATAATGAGATTTTACTGTACATTTAAATGTAAAAATTAATATACAATATTAATTAACTATATATGACCTGAATACTCAAGTTTTATCCATTAAAATTTTCACTAATGGTTATCAGCATACCATAATTTTTACCCTGTTAAAAAATTTCTTACCCCATTACTTTGTTCTTAAGCAGAGCTCCATCAGATAGCAAGTCAATTACTGTTAATGTTTTTATTAAACAAATTAACTTTATTAGATGCCTGGATCAGCATTGGCAGCGAGGTGGTAACGCTTCCAACAGTTGTACTGTCCTGGGGCTCCTCGGGGCTAAACCCACATTTTTTGGCACCATCGCTGACTCCCATGAGAAGAGGTACAGTATAGTAGAACATAAAATAGTTCTATAATTATGGCAGTCATAATAATATATTGTTTTTAACAAAGATTTGTTTCACTGGTTGTTATAGATTTTTCTACATAATAGTCATTATCACTGAATTTTGAATAGGATAGTTTATTGCAAAGAGCAGAAGTTATGGGGTAAAATATATCATATTAAATACAATATGTGGTATAGTAATAACTAATTAATGAGAGTAATGCCATTTCCTGCACTGTGTTGGATGGCCCATATTAAACCATTAAAGAATATCTTTTATAAAGGTTCAGATTCTTTATTTGCAAAGTATTACATGCATGTTAAATAAATAAACAATGTTACAGATAATGTAATAATGTGACAATATTTGTGAAGCCCCTTATACTTAGTATTTCTGGCAAGGGTGAAGTTGCAAAAAATGATCAGTATATGCATATTAAATAATATTAATATTAGCAATGGCAAATTATTGAAATACAGTTACCAGTATTCTGATAATAACAGTACAGTAGTAATTTCTGGTATAAAAATAGGAATGATATTAATAATGTAATTTTACAATGCAGTAGTACATGAAAAGGTCAAGGAATTGAAATATTTAGAATCAGTATAATGTGTAAGTGAAGTTGGGAGTAGAACATATGAGCATAAGTATAGAAGAACAATGCACTAGGCATACTAGCCCTTACTAAGCAAGTCTTTCTTACACACAGCCTTTCTCACTCATTTACTTGCTTGATTTACTCTTTAAGCTGCCCAAGGTTCTAGCTACAGTCATTGCTTGGTATAGTGTTCACTCATCCACATCTCTAATTTCCAAACCAGTACATTACTACTTTTATAAATCTGAATTTATCTAACTGTAATCCATTGTCTCAAGTTTTTTGGGGGTAAGACATCCTCAGTACCCTGTTTATATCTCCCTCATTCTACTTCAATCAAGAGTACATATACATTATATATACATATACATATATATTTTCATATGAAAGATTCCTTATATAGTGAATTAGTTCCTTATATAGTGAATTAGTTTTTGTATGGAGACCAGAACTGAGCTGCATAAACTAAATGAAGCTTTACTACTAATGGCGTGTAGAACTGAAGACTAATCTTTTGACTCCTATTGCTAATGCTTTTAGATATAAATCTGAGCAGTCTGTCAGCCTTATTGCAAATGCTTAGGCACTGCTGTCTTGGTTTCAGATTTTTTCTTATCATAACTCCCAAGTTCTTTTAATATTGTTTCATCAAGGTCTCTATTAGTATTTAGTATATAGTAAGTGCTAGAGTTAGTTTTTTCCTGAGGATTAGTACTTTGCACTTTTACACATTGAAACTCTTCTAACACTTTTCCAACCACAACATTAGCTTGTGTAAATCATTCTGAAGTTCAACGATAACTTCCTCTAAATTTATTTCTTGGCTTTTTTTTGTGGCATCAGAGTATTTACTCATGTCGCTTTGTCATTAATGTAGATTATGAGTTACAAAGGGCCCAAAAGTGGCCCTTGTGAAACACTGCTTGTGCTTGATTTCAATTTTTGACTTCATCCCAGTTATCCTGTGCCATGTGCTACCACTTAGTCTTTTGTGTGAGATTCTTATCAGAATTCTTCCTGAAATCCAAATAAATAACAGTATTCTTTTAATAGTTCACTATCTTAAATACTAAAGAAAGTCAGTAAATTTTTTTTTTTTTTTTTTTTTTTACACAGGGTTTGACAAGGTTAAGGATCCCTAGCTTTATTGACAAGCTATTTACAGGTTAAGGATTCCTAACTTTATTGGCAAGCTAAGAGCTGTTACCTACATCAGCTCATTTGAAAGCATTTTTATTGTTATGAGACATACAAGTAGGGAACAGGATGAAATTGGAGCCATCTGTGGGCCAGCATTTTCATTTGATCAACTGACTTTATCTCGTTGACATCATTATGCTGTACGAATGTGTTCCATACTCGAGTCATCCTGGGTATATACGATCTCAGATGGAGTGATGTTCTGGAGAAGGGTACAGCCTGAGTGAAGTTACTGCTTTCTGCCCATCTTGTTACATAAAAGCTTGTTTCACGCTGTCCTCGAAGTGGATCCAAGTGTGGTACTTTGACAATATTGGCCTTGTACATAACAGTAAGGCCACCCACATCCCTCCTGTGTTGAAGGCTCTGCTGAAATGACAGATCTATCCAGGATTGGTCTAGGCGAGAGATGAGACATCTTGCTCTGTTCTATACTCTGTCAAGCAGTCGCAGATGAGAGGGGAGGCAGGCAAACCAAGAAAGTGGAGTATACTCAAGGTGTGAGCGTACTTGTGCCTCGTACAGAATCTTGCAACCCCTACTGTCAGAAATAAAAGAGTCAGAAATAAAAGAAGCCAGGTTACTAGGATCCCATGGTAGAAAAAGTGTTATGCTTAGATTCCACTCACATGACAGGAAAAAAGACTTAATTATTGCATCTATTAAAGTAAAGAAAGAGGTATACATAAACGAGTGTCTTACCAAAAAACGTCAGAACCTCCTGTATAGAGTCAGAAAACTTAAGCGGGAGAATAATGACACAATACACCAATGCTTCACACGGGATGGGAAAATTCTAGTTAGGAAAACAATGTAGGTCAACTGTACACAATCACGAACGAGAATGATCTTTCACGATTTCTCAGGGATACTGATCTTACAGAGAATAACTAAATGTCCAACCTAAAAGCCTATGTAATGAAGTGTATGTTTTGCTCCATTATTGTTCAAATCTCGTAGTACAATCTCTTAGTAATTAAATAATCAACTACCTCATTTTGTGATTTTACTAGTAAGCATAAGTCACCTTATCTAATTTTCTTATTTACTATTGTTTGCTTAAATATTAGCTGAATCGATACTTTCTCTGTCCATATTACTACCTATTTTTTTAAATACTATCAATTGATATTACTTACTAAAATTAATAATTACCATTTTTACTATCAATACAATTTACTCAACATTTTTGACATCATTTAATAACCATTACTTGTCTAATTACCTTAACCAGTTTTAATACCACATTACTATCTTAGAGTACTCTTAATTACCTTGTACTGCCAAATAACCTGAAGTATAACTACCAGTGCAATATTGAATGAAATAAACATTACTTTTTCACTTATTTTGTAATCATTATTACTTACTAAAATTTTATTAAACACCATATTTACTACCAGTCAATTTTACTTTTGTACATTAATCATTATTTTATACTTCCCATAACATTTTGTTGCCAAATTTCCAAGTTTGTATATTCAACTCCAACCTTTATATTATCCTTTGTACCTGTGTACCTGTGCACTTGTGTGCCTCTGTACCTGTGTACCTGTCTACCATCTTACTATCATATTATAACCAAGACATTGCCATTGTTATTTTTTACTTATTATTCTTTTGGTACTTTAATTTGTGAATTTTATTTTGTCAATTTAATATCTAGTTATACTCTTGATCTTGTCAACATACCTATACCAGACCCTAGTGCAATTACAAGTACCATTTCAATTTGTATTTTTATATTATAAGTTTATATTATAAGTCCTATTCTAAGATTGTTTTCATATCTTAGTGACTATATTGTGTGTGCAGTTAGTGTATATTTCAATTATATTATTGTTCAAGGGCCCTTAACTATCTTTTGCTAACTAGTACCAACTACCTCATATATTTTTTTTTTTCTTTTTTTTATTATTTTACTACCTTAACTTGCATATTTTATCTTGTCAATTTAAATCTAGTTATACTCTAATTCTTGTAAACAACTTATATAACACCTTAGTGCGATTACAATTGAGAGTCTTGTGCCTTTTTTATATCATTAGATTAAACTCAGTTGTACTATAGCTCATTCTAGCTCAATACATAGTCAATACCAAATTCATTATATTAGACCATAGTGTAATTACTAGTGAGAGTCTGGTGCTATTTTTAATTTGTATTTTTATATTATTAGATTAAACCTAGTTGTACTATAGCTTATTCTAGCTCAATACATAGACTATACCAAAGTCATTACATTAGACCTTAGAGCAATTACAAGTGAGAGTCTTGTGCTATTTTTAAATTTATTTTATATTTATTAGTTTATACCTAGTTGTACTTTAGCTCATTCCAGCACAAACACATAGACAACACCAACTCCTATTATGTGTATTAGTGATATACTCTACATGGACCAAAATGATATAGCTATACACTTGTCCAAACTTCCACCACTACAGATATCAGTACTAAAACTCAACCCACAATCAGGATATAAATAACCATAATTTAAAACTAGAGATGATTGATCACGTTGACCTTGATCTAAACCTCCATAATCTGACACACAATCAAAACCTATTGGAAAGTAACTGCCTTTACTACACAGCATCACAAGCCAGCACTATCCTAAACAATGCTAAAAGTCTATCAGTACTTAACTACAACATTAGGTCTTAAGCAAACACTATGATGACCTCCTGGCACTCCTTGAATCACTAAGACACCTTCTCCTGCATTATTCTTACTGAGACCTGGCTTAAGCAGGACACAATAGATATCTACCTCTACCAGGATTACACAGCAATCCACAAATCTGCAGACCATACCAAGTTGGGGGTGGTATTGCAATCTATTACTCTAACCAATTATCTTGTATTAGCACCACTTGCTTTAGTGATGAATATGGAGAATACATTTTTGCTAATTTTACTGTTAAAAAAACTTAAGACGCCTATTACAATCGGTGCCATTTACGGATACCCCACAAACATCCCAAATTTCAGTGAGAAACTAAAGGCACTAATAACAAACAGACAATGAATAAGCACCACCTTCTCTTAGCTGGAGACTTCAGCATCAACCTTGGCCTACTAGATGATCAGCCTGTAATGATTTCATCAACAATATGAACAACACACTTTCATACCAACAATAACTAAACCAACCAGGCTCACTGAAACAAGTGCAACCATTAATAGACCA